ACCCCAACCCCAACCCCAACCCCAACCCAACCCCACCCCAACCCCAACCCCAACCCCAACCCCAACCCCAACCCCAACCCCAACCCCAACCCCAACCCCAACCCCAACCCCAACCCCAACCCCAACCCCAACCCCTAAATTCCAAACCCCTAAATCCCATAATTCACATCCCATATCCCAAATCCTACATCCCAAATTTCACACTCAAATTTCTAAATCCTAAAATCTAAACGAAAAACACTAATCCTAAAAAAAAAAAAAAACAGCTCAAAATTATTTGAATAAATTTATTTACTATTTTTTAAAAGTTGAATTTATATTTTTTAATTTTACCTAATATAAATTTTTTTTCACTATTTAATTTTAATATTTATTATTATATACTATAAAAAATAAAAAAAATTTATTCTTTTTATATATAATTATAACAATGAATTTAATAATATTTTTTTAAAAATATTTTAATTCCTTAAATTCATGCAATCGAATATACTTAATTTTTTTTTTAAAAAAAAAATAATATTAAAGTTTTATTAAATTTAACAAAAATATTTCTTATTGCTAATAAAAAATTAATATTTATTATAATAAAATATTTTACTTTATTTTATTTTCATTATTTATTTATTCAATAAATTCACTCTTTTATTAAATAATATTTTTTTTTAATTTTACGCTGAATATAATAAATTAATATTTTTTTTTTAAATTATTTAAATTTTTTATTTTATACAAGATATTTTATTATAATGTTTAAAAAAAAAACATCATCATATAATCTAGATCTTCCAATATTTTCTGTAAAAACATTTTTAGAAAATAATAAAAAAAAATAATAAAGGTTTTAGGATATTAGGATAAAATTATTTTTGGAGGAGGTGGTGGTGGTAAAAAATATGGTTTGAAAAATTAATTAGTAAAAATAATGATAAATTAATAAATAAAATTTAATAAAAGTTTATATTTTAGAGAGGAAATGGTACAGAAAGATTAACAAAAATACTTAATAAATAAGATACCTAAGACGACATAATTCAAAAAATGAATTTAAACATAAAATTTGATTTATTAGCATGTTGTGCAGATGGAAATGCAATTTTTTATAAAATAGATAACTAAAATAATTATTTATAAGAATTATTAAGAGTGTAAGCTGACTTTTCAGATCCGGAGCCTCCATGTTTAGTAAAATAAAATTTTTAAAAAATTATTAATTTATCTTTAAAATAGAATGATGTAAAATTTAATCATAATGCGACATTAGTGGCTACAGGAGGAGATGATACGATAATAAGGTTTTTATAATTATATTTATATTTAGTAAATCGATTAAAATAGGATTTGGGAATCAAATTATGATAATTAGTATAATTAATTAAATTTAATTAAAAAGTTTGATTTAATAAGTCACACAAGTCCTGTAAACTCCGTTGATTTTCATTTAAATTAGAACTTTGTAAAAAAAATAAAAAAATATATAAATTAATAGAAATATATACTATATAAAAAGCTAATTTCTTCTAGTGATGATAAAAGTTGTAGAATTTTTAATTTAGATAAATAATAATTAATAAAGAAACTAAATTTAGGAGGAGGTTAAAGTGATTTAAATTTAAAATTTAATGGAGCATAGTAATACTTTTATATATTTTTTTTTTTAATATATTAAACTTTTTAATAGCTTTTCTTTAGATTGTTAAAGCATTTATACAATAGCAAACCCATTAAGAGGAAATTCATTTTTTATAAAATGGGAAATTTAAAAAAATAATATTATTCCTGCTAAAACTATAAAATTACATAATTAACCAATAAGCTCTTTTTGTATGAGTTAAGACGGATAATTTATTGGTGTTGGAGGATGTGATGGAACTATAAAAATAGTAAACTTAAGGACAATTAAAATAGAATGTGAATAAAAAAATTTAGATATGGTAGTAAAAGGAGTTAACTTTACTCCTGATTCAAATTATATGATTGCTGGAACACCTGAATTAAATTATGATATTTAAAAAAATTAGAAACCATATGGAATAATAAAAAATTTAATTAATATATGGATATTTATAATATTTTTATCTTCAGTTTATTTATATATTTATTAAAATTTGTTATGATTTAAATAATAAATTAATATTTTAAAAATAGATATAAATATTCTTCATCAAAAAAATATAAATTTAGATTAAAAATAAAAATAAAAATGGAAAAAATTTATTATTATTTTATTTTTTTTATTATTATTGAGTATTAAAAATTACAAATTCATTAAAAAAATTATTTTATATTTTAGAGAAATAAGAATTTTACTAACATTATAAAATATTATAATTAGAAATTGTTTATTTTAAAAATTATCGGCGGCTATATACATATAAATCCTATCCATATTTAAATTTTATTCTTCATTAAATTAATTTAAGACAAAAAAACAAATATTATATAAATTTTTTAAAAATCAATTATATATTTATAATAATTAATATTATTTATTTATTCATATAATTGTTAAATCGTCATTAAAGTATAAGTGAATAGCTGGAATATACCATTAATCTTCAGGAATATCAAGTCTTTTTATTATATAATAATATATAATATATACTTAAAATATTTATAATTAAAATATTTAACTCTTAAAATTCTTCTGTTTCATCTTATATTCCATTTTCTTCTAAATTTTTTTCCATATCTAAAGGAACTTTTATTCTTTTCCAAGTATAACTTGCCGCATGGAAATTAATAATTTTATATCTATCTAATATTTCATTAATAGTTTCTTCAGATGGAATCTTTAATTAAAATAAATAAATTATTATAATAAATAGATACTTCTAAAATATCTTCATGATGAGAAAGCATATTAACTATTTTAATTTTACGAGATTTAATTGTTAATACGCCTATAAAGTATTTTTAATTTTTCCACCAAGGGGTATCTTAATCTTAATTGGACATATCTACTACATGTAAATACTAACCTTATGGACAATAATAAACTAACTCACCTTTATTAATATCTATTTATTTTCTAGGTTCTTTGCTATCATTATCGAACCAATAAGTTATATCATTACCTGCTACTTCAATTAAAGGTTTGCAATAAATGGCTTTATATATATATAAATTAATATATATATATATATATATATATATATATTATATATACTTATATATTTATTTATATATATATATATATATTCTTTTACATGAAATATTTTATTAAATAAGCTCAGTTAAATCATAGACTTTATTAAAAAATGAAACCCAACAATCGTTAGCTGTATTATGAATTTTCACATCTTAAGGTGTATAATATCTTCTTTTTTTGTAAGGTTTAGGTAAATATTATGTAATATTATCTAATTTTTGTTACATTTTATATAAATAAATATATAAATTATTTAATTAAAATTAGTTATTTTTTTATATTATTAAAAAAAATACAATATAAAAGTAAAATAAAAATTATTTTATATTATTTAAAAAACCAAAATTTCAAATTGCAAAAAGTGATTTTTAATTAATAGCTTATTTAATATAACCAATTCCTTTAAAATTTCTTCTTAATTTAATAAAATTTTTTTTTTAATATCTAATTTTAGCATCTTTTTCTTTTTTATTCGTATACATTTGATATAACCTTAAAACATTATTCAAATTATTATTAGGAAAATAATTCCTAAAATCTTTTTGTGAATCAAAAAATTTCATAATAAATTCTTATTGTGTGTTAAATAACGCATTATTTTCTTAAATACCATCAAAAACTAAAAAGCTATTTAATTTTGTATTTTTAAAATCATAAGAATTACACTCTGCTTATCTATATGCTTATACTTTTTTGAAGCATTCTTGAAATTTTTAAAAAATTAATTATTAAACAATCGATTGTTCTTTTAATAAATTATTTTCAATTATAGATTAAATGCTTCCATTTTAATTTTATTAAATGTTTTCGTTTAAATCTTAATTATAAATACAGTTGTTATTATTCTTAATATTTTCGAGTTTTTCCATTTATTTTTAAATAGAATTTAAAGAACCTCTATTATATTCTTCTTCTACTATTTCAGAAACAATACTTAGTTTTTAATTATTTTAAAATATAAAATTTTCATTATAATTCTTAGAACGAGAATCTTATTATTTTATTTAATAATGAATTTGAATTTTTGAATCACTTTTTGATCTTTAAGAGCTTTAAGAAGAATTTGAAGAATTAAGAGAAGAACTTTAAGAGGATTTAGAATTTTCAATAAGCTGATATTTTTTATTATTTATGTTTTTAGATTTATTACTTTTTTTATAGTTGGATTCGATTAATAATTGCTTTTATTTATATTATTAAATAATTGTTGTTCTGTTTTGTTAAATATCGTTTATTTAATCTAAATTATTAGAAAGTTAATAAAATTAATTTTTCATCTGTTATAATTCTTTCGAATCCATATTATTTTCAAAGTCAGAAATATCTATTTAATTTCGATCATCTTCAACTTCTTAAAATTCATTATCAAAAAATTAAATTTAAGGCATACAAATAAAAAACTCGAAATCACTTGTATTTATTAGTATGTTTTCTTCTTCATAATTAATATTCATAAAGTCATTTATTGCATTATTTACAAATTCCCATCTTATTTATTTCAAAATTTTTCTAAATATAATTTTTAATAAATATTTTATAAAAATAGTTTAAAAAAAAATTTTCATATATTTTTTGCTATTTATAAAAGATTTTTATTTATTATTTATTTTTTAATAAACATTTTTATATATTACTTACTTAATGCTTTTGTTACCTAAAATACAATAAAACCTTCTATTTGATTTTCTTATAAATTAAACTCTTTTTTAAGGGATTTCTTTAATAAATTTACCTATAACTAAGAATTTATGTTTTTTTTTATCATAAAAAGGACAATAAAGTACATAATGTCCTATTTTATTACAAGCGAAACAAACTTGTTCGAAATTTCTTTCATACACAATAATATTATCTCTAAGTCTACAATAGGTTTCCTAATTTTTTATTGAAGAAAATGAAATATAATAAGATTTATAAAAAACAAAATACATAATCTTTAGGAAAAGATTTTAAAATTTCTAAAAAATCATCTCTTTTAAAATATGCTAAGTTAGATGGTTTTAGGCATTTAGCACCTGTTTTTTCTTCTTAAGAAGAGAAAAAACTATAATTACCAAGTATATCACCTGACTTTTTTTTTTTCAAAAAATTTAAAAAAAAATTAATTTTTAAACTTTTGCTTATCCTATTTTTCTTTATTCCATTCCTATTTCTTAATATATTTCAACTAATCCATTATAAAGAAAATAAATACAGTCATTATTACTATTTTGCAAATATACATAATCGCCAGGTTATAGAATAAGTTCTTTCATTTAAAGACAAAATTTTTCCTTTGCTTCATTCGAAAAATTCAGATTTATTAATTTATAAGATGATAATATTTTGCCAAAAAACTCCTTTTTAAACTCTGATTATATATTAATTGAAAGATTCTCAATTATTTCTTCACCTCTTTTATGTTTATTATTTTACAAAAGATTTTAATATTCTAAACTTTTTAGAATTTTCAATTAAGTCCTTTTAGAGATTTACCTCTTATTTAAATATATATTAATATCGTATTTATTTTATTTAAAATCAATCTCTTTTTTTGATATTTCTTAAAATATAGTACCTAAAAAATTTAAAAAAATAAATAAGCATTAGTTTTTTTTTAAAAAAATAATAATATTAAATTATGTAAAAACCTATCATATTCATCGAATAACCAAATAATCCACAACTAATAATTGTAATATTAATAATAAGAATTTTTTCTCTTACAGTTTAAGGCGTAATATCCCCATAACCAACCGTGACCATGGTAATTATCGCAAAATAGAAACTATTTAAAAACCTAATATCAATATCCGAATCCACTATCCCTTATTTATGTAACCAAGTATCTGTCCTTCCCATTGAAATGTCAATTTAAGCTACAAAATGAAATGCACAAGCAAAAAAATGAGCCATAGTAAAAATTAAAAAAAGTAGTTTTACTAAACTATATTCAGTATTGAACCTCTGTTAGAGTTGAAAATGCTCGTCTATCATGGCTAGAAGTTAAGGAATTTGATAAATCCTGATCATAAGGATCCATTAATACGTATTGTTCCCCTGAATTGAAAAACTAATTGCAGATAAAAGGTTAATCCAAAAATTAAACTTCAAATAATTAGTTTAAATTTCAATAATATCAACCACTAAGAGACCATTTTAATAAAAAGCCAAATTAAAATTGATAAAAATATCAACATAAAGCACAATTTAAGGAAATATCTTAATAACATAATAAAAAATCTAATTTTTTTCAAAAATATCCCCAAAAGAAGTCTAAAAAGGAATGAAAAAAATGCATACAGCTAAAGCTATTATCAAAAGAAAATTCCAATAAAGAGCTATATTGTCACTAGGTTCTATAACTTTAAGTTTTTGCCTTAAATTCTTAAAATTTAACTCAAATTATTTCAGTTAAAAATAAGTTTTATCATTTACCGCATTTATATGTAAATCTTCCAAATTCCCAAAATTACTATAAAAAGCGTTTTCTTTAAAAATATTTATAAATTTGGTCACTCTTTTCATAATCCCTAAACATTTCCATTAAAAATCTGCTCCACTTAAATTGTGATCTTTTAATTATATTAAAGGATGGCACCCATCTTGGTTTTGGAATTTTTTTTGGATTTATTATTCTTCCAATTACTAAAATTAATCGAAAGATAATTTATAGTTTAATTCTTTTTGGCTTTTTAGCTTTTTTAATTCTATTTATTTTTCATAAAACTATTATTTTCTTAATTAATATAATTAATCTAGTTTTTCTTTTGTTATTATTTTTGTATTATTTTTTCTAAATTAATTATTGGAATATGAGTTTAGTTCATTTTATGATTTTTTATGGAATTTTTATTCGGATTAAACAAATGTAAAAGGGGATAAGATGCTTTCGTACATATTATTATTACCATTAACACTTTTTTATATATTCATATTATTTGCTTAAAATTCCAGATTATTTTCATTTTTTTTTATTGATTCAAAATCATTTAAAGTAAAATTATAATCTAATTCAGTTATTAATTCCCTTTCTCTATCTTATTATTGAAAATTATTTTAGGTAAAAAGCTTTCGACGTTTTTAGGCTCCTGAATTGTTTATGGTTGTATTATCTTATATTTAAATACTTTTTTACGATTCATTTGTTCTTTATTAAATTAAATTATTTAATTCAAATTAAGAAAGATTAAATGATTCCATTTGTTTTTATTTCATTCTTAATAAAGTTATTATATTTTGAATATTAATAAATAAATAACTAGTTTATTATTTATTCAATATGCTATAATTATGTTTAATTAATAAATATTATATTATAAAAGAAAAGTATTAAAGAAATATATATATATATATATATAATATATATATATATATATATATATATTTTTTTGACAAGTATATTTTTTTTAAAAATTAATTTAGTAATTGTTATTATTTAATTTTTAATATATTTGTTTATTATTTATTTTTGTATTAGTTTTCTTTTTTCAATATCAATTACAATTTATTAATATTTATCTTTTTTTTTAAAAAAAAAACTAATAAAATTAAAATTATATTATAAAATAAGGTTTATAAATTTTCTTTAATTATTTAAATATATAATATAATTAAATTTATGAATTTTAATATCTTTGAAATATTTTAAATATTTATAAATTGTATATACATTTAAGAAAAATTGTACTTCATTGTTTTTTACCTTTTCGACATAATTTTAATTTATTTATTTATATTTATAAAATATATAAAATCTTTTGTTTTAATGTTTTACGACATAACAAAAAATTATACTAATTTAATCTATTTCAAAATTTATATAATAGCAAACACATTAAATTTATTCTTTTATAAATTATTCTTTGAATGCATCTTCATATGTACCGGTTTAAATATATATTTACAACAATTATTTTTTTTTTATTAACTAAAATTTCAAATAGTAGTTGTATATATTATTTTCTAAAAAACTAAAAAAACTAAAATAAGGATAATATTTTTTTTTTTATTGGATTTTAAATAAAAATTATAGAACAAATATTATATCTATATAAAAAGTTTTTGATAAGTTTTTTATAATAAAAAATAATAATAGTTAACATAAAGAACAAATACTATATTATTTAGATTATTATTTATACTTTATTTTTTTATGATAGAAATAGAATACCTATTTTATTTAGAAATGCTTTTTATTTGAAATTTCCTTATTTAAGAAAAAAATATAGCCTTTTAATAAAATAATCAATATATAATTAAAAGTTAATTTTATTTAATTATAACTTAATAAAAAAAGATTTTTTTATTAATTTGCCAATTAAATTAAAATTTAAATTTAACTTTAAATTAAATTAATTTTATTATTTTATTCAATAATTAAAGCAAAATAATATAAGACTAAATAAAAATTATAATACGGAAGTTAAAAATTAATTTAATAATAAGTCATTATAATATATTTTATTATAAATATATACATAGTCCATTTGAAAAAATAATAAAATATAATCAAAATATATATATATATATATATTAAAATTATGAAATTAAACAAAAAAATTAAAATTACAAATTAATAATATTTTAAATTTAACAAGAGAAAAAAAAAATATTAATTATAATTTTTTATTTAAAAAAACAAATAACAAAATAAAAAAAAAAAACATTTTTACTTTTGCAAACCCAAATTATCCCGTTAATGCAAGTTTCGAAAAAATGGGCCAAACAGAAAACTATCGTTGAAACAACAAAAAAGAGTATTTTCGGATAAACAACAAAACATGATTATTCTACTTTAAAAACTTATTTCTTAAAAGGAACAGATTCAAGATAACTACAAACTTCTCAACGCAATGATCTCTTAAAATTCGTGAATTAAGATTAAAAAGGAAAATCTTTCCTTGTATACAATTCTAACGAAGCCTAAAGAAAACTAGCTGATTGGTAATCAAAATTATCATGGATAAAACCTTTCTATGCTTTAAAATCTAATCCTATAGCCCCTTTAGTAAGAGATTTAACATCAAATGGTGCTGGCCTAGACGTTGCTTCCTAAGGAGAAATTAGAAATGGGTTAGATATGGGATTAAACCCCAAAAACATGATATATTCAAACCCTATAAAAGAAGAAAAGACATCTAATACGCAGTTAAAAATAACATATTGTACACAACTGCTGATTCTTTCGATGAGTTAATAAAAATCAAAGAACTTGCTCCTTAAATGAAGATTTTATGGAGAATTTCGATTCCTGAAGACAACTCGAAATAGTTAGCTACTGAGTTTTCTAACAAGTTTGGAGACGATATCATTTCTTTAGAAGATGCTAAATACAAATTCAAATATATGGCTAAAGAATTGGGTGTAAATATACACGGAATCCACTTCCATTGCGGTAGTGGCAAAAACGGCTCCACTTCATTCCAAAAAGCAGTCTAAATGGCAAGAAAATGCATTCAAATAGGCCGTTAATATGGGCATTCTATGGAAATATTAGATTTAGGTGGTGGATATCCTGCTGGAGATTTGAATTAAGAAACGATAGATGCTTTATAAGTTACTAAAAACGATTCTTTGGGATATTAAGTAGTGGCAGAACCAGGTCGTCATTTTTCATAAAACACTTGTTATTTATTCACTAGAATTTTAGCTAAAAGAGTTAAATAAGGAAGAATTTGTTACCATTTGAATGACTCCTTGTACCATTCTTTTAATTGTATTTTAATGGACGGTGTTTCTTTTGAAAATGAAAATAATTAATTTTATAAATGTGTAGATAATTCTACATAAGAACAATTTGATATTTAAGAAACTAAATCACTCAAGGATCCTTATTTGGAATGACTTGTGATGGACAAGATGTTGTCGCCAAAAATATTAGTTTTCCTTAAAATATGAATGTTGGTGATTGGATGTGCTTTAGTGGAATGGGAAGTTATACTTATGGACCTAAAAGCAAATTTAATGGAATGGAAAGTACAACTAGAGTGTTCTTATGGGATTCTGAGATCAAAGAATAGAAAAATAAGTCAAGTTAATAAAAATAATAATAATAATAATAATAAGAATAAGAATAAGAAGATTTCCCCTTGATATGGAAACCTGCTATTGCTGCAAGTGGAAGCAGAGTATGAGAAAAATCTATTTTTTATAATATTATATTTATTAATATGTTATTTTTGGTAAAATAATATTTTATCATTTTCTTTATATTTTTTCTTTGCGGTATTTTTAATATAAAATATTTCTATCAATTAATTACAATATAATTAATTTTATATAATTTCTAAACTAAACAAATAATCGAAATAGATTGAAATTAATTTTATTAAGTATTAAATTTAAATAAAAATAACAAAATTATTGTTAAAAAATAATTCTTTATTATAAAAAAATGAAAAACACTAAAAAAATATATAATTTAATATAAAAAAAATTATAATTATAAAAAAAAATATAATTTTTTAAAATAATAAATTATAAAAAAAAGAAATTAAAATAAAAAACAAACAAAATAAAAAAAAGATATTTTTTAAAAAAATTTACATATTATTTATTAATAAAAAAAAGGACAATCATTCAATATAGCCGTAATTTTCGTCATCAGGTATTGAACAAATAATTCTGTGTGTGTGTATAGCAGTTATTTTAACTCTTAATTTCGATCCAACAATAATATTTTTTCCGTCAGCATCAAGTTTTCCATCTTAAATAGAACTGAAAAAAATTAAAAAATATTATATAAATATAAATTAATATAAAATATATATATATATATATTAATAAATATATATTATATATTTATTTAAATTTATATATATATATATAATTAAAAAATTACGAATGCCATGAATCAGGTAAATTATCAATCGGAATACAAAATCTCTCATCTGGTCCTATTGTTCCGTCTATCGAATTATTATTTATTTTTTGGACTACAATATCAACAGTTTATCCTTCCTCTAATTTAAATGTAATTGCATCAAATTAAATTTCTACTTTAATAAACCCATCTAAGTCTATAATTGGATCTGCTAATCCTCTAATATTTGTTATATATATAATATGACCAAATTATTGACTTTCTATTCCTTCAACTTTTTAAAACAATTCTTTTTTTAAAAATTCATTGTTATTTAAATCATTTGTTCTTCTTTAAATTTCATGCATGTCTTTTGGATGAATTAATAACACAGTCCTAATACCTTAAGTTTCAAAAAACATTTATTTATATATTTTTAAAATTTTAATTTTTTAGTAAATTATTTAGTAGATTATTGTAAAAAATTAAATATATATTATGAAATTTTTATTTTCATAAAAAAACTAAGTAAATGAATTATTATATATTACTTTTTATTATAGTTTTTTTTTTTTATTTGATTTTTGTTTATATAATTCAATAAAAAATACGCCATAGGCAATATATTAAGGTTTACAAAAAAAATACCGAATAAATAAAAAAAATAAAAATTAAAAAGTGATATATACAAAAGCAAAAATACATTAAAATATTTAAATAATTAAGAGAAAAATATTTATATATTAGTTAATAATAAATTATTCAATAATATATTACTTTTATTAAAAAAGTTATAAATACTTTGAATAAATTAATCATAAAAATTTGATAATTTTAATCAACATAAATAATTGTAAAAAAATAATATTTTTCTCATTTTTATTATTATATTAAATTATATATATATCATAATATCTTTATTTCAAACTAAAAGTTATATTTATAATAATATAAAAAAAATTATAATGTTTATATACTAATATATTTAAATAAAAAATTATATAAAAAAAATAGAGAAAAAAAAAAAAAAATATTTAATATAAAATGAGTAATATTTATGATAATGAAAATAGAAATTATGAATCTGACATAGACGACTAAGAAAAGGAAATAATTTAATAAAAAGAGCAGTTAGAATAAAAAATAGAAGATTTAGAATTAAATAACAAATTACCTGTTAGATTCCATGCACACGGACTTTAAAATAATATTGATTTGAAAAAATTAGAATAATTTTTAAAAAAATAAGATCCTTATATTAATTTTAAATTAAGCAAATAAAATAATATCATTTAAATAGACTGTTAAGATTTTGATTCTGCTTATATCATACTAGATAAATAATAATAATCTTACTAAGGATAAAAAATAAATCTATAAATAGTTGAAGAAATAAATAATATAGATAATATATAATAAAAATAAAAATAAAATGAATAAGAAAAAAAAATATAATAATAATAATAATAATAATAATAATAATAATAATAATAATAATAATAATAGTAATTTAATTAAATTTAAAAGGTAATACCTTAAAAATAAGAATTTCATAATTTTGCTGATGGATGGTGAATAGATTTTTAATTTTTTTAAGAACTTATTAAATTTTTACATTTATTTATTTTATTTTCTTCTATTTTTTTTATTACCTATAAATAAAATGATCATTTTATTTTTTTTTAATTATTTTTTTAATTAAACCTATAAATATTTTTCATTTTTTTTTCTATTTATATTATTATTCTTTTTTTTAGTGATAAAAATTAATTATTATATTTCTTAGTCTTTAGTCTGTATTTGCATTTTTATAAAAAGGAAAATTTTATTTTTGATTTTAAAGTATTTTTACTTTGTCATATATTTAATTTTAATTTTATTATTACAGACTATAAAACATAAATAAAACTAAACTATTAAACAAAAAATTAACATAAAATAATATAAATTTATATTAAATAAAATAGCAAAATCTAAATCATAAATCAGCTAATATGAAATGTTTAAATTATAAAATAAAAATTGATAAAACGTAAATAATAATTTATCACTATTCTGTTTTTTTATTAAAAGGGTAAAGACTATGAAATAATATTATTTAAAGTAATTTTTTTGCAATAAAATTAAGTATTAGATGACTTTAATTATTTGTTTTCTTAAAAATTAATCTTTTTAAATAATAATAAATAAGAATAAATAATTGATAAAACTGTAAATTAAGTAATTTATTCACATCAGCTGCTAATAAAGATATTTAATCAAATTTTAAGTATTTTACAGGCTGAAAATAATTTATAAATGAAATGTATACATTATAGTTATAATAAAAATTCGATTTAACTTTAATCTAGAGAACTATGATAGATCAAACTAATTATTTAATATAATAAATAATATATAAATAATTTTTATTCTAATTTTAATTTTTTATTTTTTGTTCAATTATTAAATTAATACTTCTGTAATTTATCTATAATTATTTATTTTAAATTATATATATATATATATATATAAAAAAATTATGTATATAAATATATATATAAATATATATTTATTTATATATATATATATAATAAATTATTAATATAAATATATTCTTGCATAAAAATAATAATAACATTTCAAAAGATTTATATAATATATAAGTTTATATATATATCTTGATATAAAGTAATAATTTTAATAAATAATATCAATTAGTCCCTTTATATATTTATAATTTTATATTAATTAAATGTTATATTTTCAATTACTAAATGTGTTTTAAAATTATTATTTTTAATCAGAATTTTTTATAAATAAAAATTACTTTAATTATAAAAATTAATATTTAAAAAATATTTTTTATTTATAATATAAATAAATAGCATTTTTAAAAATAGTTCATTTATATTTTTTATTTATAATTTATTATTTAATTTAAATTTTTTATTTTTTAAAAATCTTTTTATTATTTAATAAATATATTTTTTAAAAAAAAGAATAAAAACTCGAAAAAAGAAGATTATTAATATAATTATTTTACACAGAAAAATATTTATAAATTTTTTTACTTTTAATATCGATTTTGTAATATTTTATTTATATACCATTTAATAAATAAAAATTGTTATATTATGTGCTCTTAATGATATTAAATAATAGTTATTATTTTAACAACCAATTTTAAAATTCCATAGAAACAAACATTTAAAATAATATTTTAAATTTATAAAATTTATATTTTTATTACATAAAAACTTAGACTCTTAAAAATTTAAAAATAAAAAATAATCAATGTATTATTTTCTATTAAAATATTTAAATTTATTAACAAGTTTTTATTTTTATTAAATATTTACCTAATTATTTTTATTTATATATTTGTTTTAATATTAATATAGTGTATATAATATGATCTCTATTATTATTTATTTATCAAATTTTTAGTTCTTAAATTTGTAAATGCTAAATTATTTTAATTTTTTATTTATTTTAAATACTATTATTATTATCAATTCATATTTAAATTTTATATAATCAAATAAATACAATTTTTATTTATTTTTAATTTTATTTTATTCACATTTTTATTTAAAAATATATATTTATAAATTAAAAATCATGATTTTAATTTTTTTATATAATTAATGAAGAAAGATTTTATATTTATATAATATATAAATTAAATATTATATTTAGAATTTTTTAAAAATTCCTATTTGAAAAATTTAAATGCAATTTATTTTAAATTTTAATTAAATAAAATAAAAAATAGCAAATAAATAAATAAAATCAATTATTTCTTCTTAACGATTATTTAAATCTATATCCCAATTTAATTAACATATCAATAAATTCATCTTCAAGATTTTTCGAAGTACTAATCAAGCTAACAAGTTAAATAAAATTTTATTTTTCAGAAACTGTAAAAATATCATTTGGTAAAGTTTCAAAAATTTAACTAAAATACAAACTACTTTATTCAGGTAAAGTTTAGGACTAAGCAATAAAAATATCATAAATATATTCCCTTATTTCTTTTCTTGGTACATCGCTTAAAGCTTTAATTAATTTAGTAGTATATTACTTACAAATATTTCCTTAAAAATAATTTTTAAACTAATTAAACTACTTCTATGAATTTTTAATTCTCGATTATTATTCATCAGTAAAGGAAAGATAAATATATTCTATAAATGTATAAAGAGACTTAGCAGCTTCATGATGCTCAATACCAATTGATAAGTCAACCAAATTCAAAATTTACTCTAAAGATTTAGAATTAATAATAATATCAGGATAATACTTCAAAAATCTGCCCAAAAATCCAAAGAAATCTTCCGTAATATCTGGATTATCGACCACCTTTTAATAATTAGGAATTAATTACAAAGTAATTTATACAAACTACTCAAAGGCTTAAACCAAAAGAGATTCAAAGTGAGGATAATTTTAGAAAATTTTGATGGTTTTTTCAACCAAATAAAGACATCCAGATTAATTAGTTTATCTATATAGCTCTATTACTTAAGGAATGAATTCTGGATAGAAAATATCAAAGTCTTCATTTAATTTATCTATAAATTATTTCAGCAAAGAGATTATATTTTCAATAAGTCTAGTTTCATTTTTCAAATTTTCAATTATATGTTTCAAAACAGGCCATATTTCTTTAAAAATCTCAGCCAAAAGTTAGTGGGGAAAAGATCCTTTTTTTTCCCTCAAAGGAACACTTTGGACTATGTTTTTTAAAGCTTTTAACGGTTTTTTTAAATTTTCAATTACCTCTTCCCCTTTTTATTTTTCTTAGGGTAATTATATATAAAGAGCCAACTCATGTGCATAAGGTTTACACAATTAAAGTAAAAAATCCTTTATGTACTAATCGTTTGCACATACAGCCTTTGAAATTCCGGTTATTACTTAAAAGTTGTAAAGCATTTTTTAAAAAATATTTTATAAAAAAGACTATATGTTTTATTAAACGAACAAAGGGCATATATTACATACTGTTTCGAATGCACTTTCTGATATTTCTTATAATAAAGGAGTTTCAATATGTTTTACAATCAAATTAAAAGCCAATAAACATGCTTTTTAGTCTTTATTTAAAATAAAAGAACTTGTTATTATGAATGAAAGAATTGTTCTATTTAATCTGACTTAATCTGTATTTATTTAAAGTACGAAATTTGTTATTTCTAAAATATATTATTTTTCTTTCGAACTAAGATTTTCTAAATCCTCTTGCATTTACTCTTTACTTTTTTCACCTCTAAAACTATTAATAGACTCATTAACAGCACATAAATAGCTCTCTAGTTTTGAAACTTTTTTCAAATCTTAAAAATCACACAGATAGCTATTCATTTATTTTGCAAAATAAAAAAGTACATTTTCCAATCCAACTAATTTTGACAAATCTCCAATTAAACCTTTCAATATATATCTTTATTCTTATTAAATTTCGAAAGTATCACTCATATTACTAATTTACTTTTGATTATTACTTTGATATAAAAGGAAATTTTCCTCATCAAAAGATATTAAATCAACACTAAATTTTAACAGTTACTCAATTAAAGACTTATATCTATCCAAAAGAATCTTCTTAAGCCCTTCATCTCTCAAATTAACTATTTATTAAATAAATTATTACCAAAACTAACACATATCCTAGTAATTAGAAAGTTAATAACTCATTAACTCCAACATAAAAGCCAAAAAATGCTCAGAGGCATTATCCAAATTATTTTCTAAAAATTAAGACATGGACCTCTATCCGAATTTTGAGAAAATTTTAACGTAATTGTCTATAGATTCCTCATCTTATTATTTATGAGCTTCTTTACAGTCATTTATATAATTAAAAATATTTATAGCGATTTTCAAAAAGAGATTTTTATGAGTTAATAAAAGTTGAGGATTTTTAAATTATCTTAAAACAGCTAAAATATTTCTAGTACAATATTCTTAAAGTATTTAATTTTTACATTAGAAAGGGCTAAATCAAAAACTTTGTTTTCTAAAAGAGAAGAAAGAATTTATGGATTAGTTTTAAAATCAATCCAATTAGCCATAATTTTTAATAATTTTTATTAAATATTTTATGATAAATTTTAACTTTGCGCAATCAAATTTAACTCATTTAAAATTCTTGATTGTAGATTATTTTTGAAATATTAAATCTTTTAATATAATATTAAAAATATATACATATAAATTTACCATATCATCTCTATATTTATCATCCATGACAAGGGTTTCTGAAAAAACAATATCAGGAAAATATTCATAAATTAGGAAAATATAATTCTCCAAATCTTCATTTTAATAAAAGGAGTTTCTCACAAAATCTACAAAATCAGGCCATTTATCATATTAATGCAAAAAACACAAAATTAGGCATTCCGCGAGTTATATTTACGTACTTTTTTGTTATTTTTTATGTGTTTTTATTATATTTACGACTTTTTCAGATATTACTTTTGATTCATAATCGTTTATTTGTCCAAAATCATATTCAAGTTTTGTTTTTAATATTTTCGCAGCCATAAAATATATATCAGGATCCAATTCAGTTTATACTAATATTAAAATACATATTTCCCAACTTTATTTGCTTCTTTCGAATTACTTTAAATATTCGTCTGCTAATTTTATTTTTTCACTATCTTATTATTACGTGGACGTTAATACTTTTATTGCTTCTATTACTTATTCCATGTTTTTTATTTTTATTATTATTGGATAAAATTAATAAATATATATATAAAGATAAAGATATACAATTAATAAAATATTATATATATTTGTAATAAAATATTTTTAATATTAATAAAAAATACTTTTTTGAAATTATAATTAAAAATATTTTTAATATTTAATTTAAAAAAAAAAATAAAAAAATGCCTTCACTCGGGATCGAACCGAGGACCGTAAGATCTTCAGTCTTACGCTCTCCCAACTGAGCTATAAAGGCTTTATAATAATAGTTTATATTACTTCCGAGTTAAATTTAAAAAAATTAGAAACATAACATATATGCGTGATTTTAATAATATTATTATTTATTTAAATTATTTATTAAATTCACATTAAAAATAGATAAATATAAATATAAATATAAATATAAATATAAATATAAATATAAATATAAATATAATTAATAAATATTTATTTTTATGTTGTAAATCTTCTTAATATCTTAAATAAAATATATATTTAAAAAATTTTTCTTAATAAATATATATATGATAGACGTTTTATATATATCTTTTAAAAAAAATCTAAATTTCATATATTTTTAGTTAATAATAATATAATTCTTTATTGTATTATTTTTATTAATGTATTATATTTTATTTTTTTTCAATTCTTTTTTAATTTATTTATTTATAAATATTTATTAAATTTAACCTCAAAATTTTTAATATATAATTTTTTGATTAAAATTCTTAAAATTATTTTAATTTATATATTTTTCTTATATTTTTTAATAAAAACCTTAACAAAAATTATCATTTTCATCTTATAAAAGTGATTTTTTTTAATTTCTTTATTCTAATATTTATATTTATATAATTTTTGTAAAATATAAATATTGTTATTTATTCTTTAACTTCTCTTAAGCAAATTTATATTACTCTTAATTTATAAAATTTAGGATTTTCAATTTAAATATTAGCAACATATTATCTAATTTTTTTCATTTTAAGCTTACTAAAAAGCATATCCTATTTTTGTTAACTATATTGATTTAAGATATTTAAAATAAAGCATTTTATCTTTCCGTTCTAAATCTAGTATATTTTAATATGAATTATTATTTTTTTATTTTGTTTGGCCTTTAAAAATTAAAAAAGATTACAAAAAAGATACTCGAAATTCATAAAATCAGCTCCAATATAAAAAAAAAAAAATCTGAAGAATCTGGCCTTTTTTTTTATATAAAAACTAATTATATAATAAAATTCTTTTAAACTTTCTTTAAATTATATATTTTCTTCCTTAATTCAAAACGCCTTTTAATCATCGTCTTTATAAAAATAAATAAAGCTTTTAATTACAAAAATCGCATGTTTTTAATGTTTTTTTATTAATTATATTGTTATTAAGTTTTCAATGATTGCTTAAATTTTATTAATTTCATTTCTTAAAAATAAATTTCTGAGCAAAAGAAATGAGAGTCTAATTTTAAAAATTTTAAAGGAAGTTCTTTTTTTTCTTCATATATTTTCTCTTTTAAATCTGTTTAGTCATTATTGCTAAAACATAGAATAATTTATTTATTTTTTTAATATTTTCCTCATTTAAAGATTTCCATATACCCTAACACAAATATAAATAATAATCAGAATTTTCTGAATTTAAATAATAAAAAGCCAATCAAATTCCATTTCAGAATATTATCTTTATAATTCCAATAAAGAATCTAAAAAACCATATTCCTCTATATTCATATCCTAATAACCTTAAATTTCATATATAATAATCATTATATAATAGATTTCCTTCTTAATTTTAGTCTTTTATATCTATTTATTCACAATCTCTTCATATTTATATAGCATTATTAATATTAATGTAAATATTGCTTTTATTTAGAATTTTATTATTTTTAGAAATTTCTTTTAAGATTATATAGGCTTTATTGTATTTTTAATTTAATTCTTATTTGGCACTTTTTAATACTTCTTATATTATTCTCAATTGATAAATTTTACATGTATTTTTTTTATTTGATTAAATATAAGGTATATTATAATTAAAAACATAATATACTATTATTTAAAAACAAGGTTTTTTTCCTTTTTCTTATATATTTTTTGTTAATTTTTGGTTTTTATTAAATACTGCAATGTAAAATTATGTAATTTTTTTATATATATTTGTTTTATATTAAAATTCAAATATTTTATTTTTGATTTTTAATTAATTCATATTTTAATACATTATGTTTAATATTATTTATTTCAAAACCTTCTTTTTACATTTTTTTAAATTTAAAGCATAATTTTTCTGCTAATTTAGAACTTTTTATATTTTTTTCAATACATTTTATAATAATTTTATTTAATTTAAGTTCTTTAAATCCATATTCAATAAAGCTTTAAATGCATTTGCTCATAATTCCTTATCCATTATATTCTTAACTTAACCAATATCCCAGTTCTCCTTTTTATTTTTCTAAATCTAAATTAACAAAAGATAAAGATCCAATAACTTCAAAATCATAAATGATTATATAGACAGCTTATTTTCTTAATTCATGTTATTAATTACAAAAATAAATAAAATTTATAGCATCTTGAACACTTTTATATTTATCAACCCAAACCATAGTTTCTTTAAGAAAATCTTTATTTTTTATTATTAAATCGAAAATTATTTGTGAGTATTATTAGTTAATAAGCTTAAGCTTTATTTTATCTTAGACTTGTATTTCTTCTTTTAATTCTAATATTGATTTATTTTTCTTTTCCATTATAATAATTTATTTATATTTATATATTTTTTTATAGGTTCTAAATATACATATATATATTTTAAATAATTATATATATAAATTATTCAATTTATATATTTTATTAGTATTTTAATTTTTTTAATTTTAATATTTTATATTTTATTTTTAATGTTTATATATACATATTTAAATGCATATCTTTTTGCAAAATATAATTTAATATTAAATTTTATTTTAAACATTTGATTATAATTTTTTATATTAGAAATAAATTATTACCTAATTACATTTTAAGTTCTTTACACATTCAATTATTATTTCTTATTCTATATATTTTATAATATTTATATATATTTATATATCTTATTACTATTATAATTTATTCTATCATTAAATATGATATTTATTTATCAGCGATGTAAATATATTATACAAATTAATAAAATAAAACTTAATATACTTAATTTCTTAAATAAAAACATAATTAAAATTTTAATTCATATTTTCTTATATTTATTAAATAAATTATAAATTGCTATTCTTTACTTATATAAAAATCATAGTTATTTAATTATTTTTTTTTAATTTAAGTATGTATATTTTTAAAACTTTAATATTTGGTAAAATTAAGAATTTTAGGTTTTATATAAATATTTTTAATATATAATATTTAAAATTTAAATATCAGAAATAAATTTATAGTTATTAAGCATTAGTCTAATATTTTTAATGAATTAATAAATTTTAGAAGGTAAATTTACTTTAAAAGAAATCGAGAAATTAGATGAGATTTCATTATTATTTGAAACACAAGATCCTGAGAAAGTATTATTATTTAAAATTTAAAAAATAAATATTTTTTAGGTTTTACTCGCAAATGATTTTTGGTTAAAAAATATGTAATAAGAAAACTTATTTGCCGAAAATTTAATATTCTTGATTTAAAATTCATAATAATATTAAACGAAATTATTTTCATTAATAGTAGCTGAAAAACAATTAGAAGTAAATAAAAATTAATTAATTTTTAAAAAAATGCATAAAAAAAGTTAAATTGGTTAAAATTAAATGAACAAGGACAATCTTAAATTATAAATTTTTTAATTGGTTTTATGATAAATTTAGATACTTTAAATATATAAATTAAACTGATTTTAACTAAATGTAATAGTATTATTGTTAATATATTAAAATTCGAATTTAAAAAAAAAATGAATAACTTTATAATTGATATTTGTTAAGCATCTAGAACTAATTAATATTTATGTGAAAATACATTTAATTTATTAAAAATACTTTGGTATTATTTTAAATTTAAAAAATATAATATATATCAATTATTCTCATATTCTTATTTTAGTTAATTATAAATTAAAGCTAAGAAGCATTTTTTAATTTATAATAATATTCTTTTTAATATAATACTTAACAACTTTAAGACTATATAAAAGTTAATTTTAAATATGTATTTTAATTATCTTATTATGTCCTGACTAATTTTTTAAAGTAAAAAAATATTATATCTTTATTTATATATATATTAAAATAAGATAAGAAAATTTTTTTAAAGATAGCTTAGTTTAGGCTTGTTTAGATACTTTTAGTACTTTTTTAAATTATATCCCTTAATAATTTATCATTTAAACTGATTTGATAGATTTATTATTGAGATTTATTAAAGAAAAAACATTTTTGATATAAAAAATATTGACTTGTTTAATAAAAATAGTTTAAGTTTTAGATATTAATTATAAATTATTTTACTTATTTTAGAATTTTATAGATTTTGAAGAACAAAAATATTTTATAGACAAAGAATATGAAATAGCCCTATTTTTAAATGAGTTTTTTAAAAAAGATTTAATCGCATACTAATAATAAGATTAATAATAAAATTCTATTAAATAATTATAAAAAAATATAAAGAAAGGATGTTATATTTTAATCAATTTATGTGAATTGACATAATAAGATACTATTTTACAATTATCTATCTAATCTTTTGAAAATATAATTATATAATTTGGTAAAAAAAAAAGTTTTTTTAATTTTGATTTTGCAACTGATAATATAATTAAACTTTGCTTATATAAAATAAAAGGAGAAAATTAAATTTAAACAAAGTAATTATTTCTAACTATAGCCTAATCAAATTGGATATATATTGAGAAATTTATAATCAATAAACTTTAAAAATATGTAATTATATAATTTAAATTAAATATTATTATATATATATATATTTCCTTAAATCTTATATTTATTCCATATTTTTTATATTTCTTTTTTATATATAAAGATTAATAAAACTAAATTTGATATAGAAAAATTTTAAATGATTTTTAATTAAATAACATTTACAGATTTGAGTAAAAAACTAAATATTTAAGAATAGTGTTTTAATGAATTTATTTTTAAACTTACAAATGTAATTAAAAACTTTAAAACATTAAATTTTTTATATAAAAAAAAGATTTTAATTAAAATGAATGAAGCATAAAAAGGTAAAGAATGTAAATCTATAATAATTAGTAATTTAATCAAATTATTAACATAATATAACCGGTTTCTTTCTTAAAATATACCTTTTTTACATGTAGTATTATAAAAATTATTAATATTAATCAATGACCCTTATCCTGGGATTTCTGTAAATTTATAATTATAATTTAAAAATTCAATAATATAAAAAAGGAAATATCAGTAAAATGTTTTTAAATCATTTCTTAAAAATGCTCAAATAATTTTTCGGAAGAATTTCGTATCTAATTTTTTGAAAATTACTACTATGAAAAACTAGATTTTTTATCAAATGAGGCAAAACTTAGTTTTTATCAAGCTACAGGGTATATAATTAAAAGCTAAAAAAATACTGAAGAAATTTCAAAAATAATTCATTTTTGTTTAAATAATGAACTTAATTAATGGAAAGAAATAATTGAAAACTCTCTTATTTAACCCGATTTTCTAAAATAATTAGATATTTAATTATATATAGAATATTTTATTAAATTAAATATAAGACTCTGTATGTCCTTAGAAATATATTATATATTTATTTTCGGTAAAAAGTAAATTTTTGATTTATTTTAATTTTTTCAATTTATAAAAAATTAGCTTAAATTAATATATCAATTAATGAAATGTATAAATATTTTTCGATTTAAAAAAATGAGAAAATTATAAAAGAAATATAAGAACTTTACAAAACATTTTTTTCTTTTTGTAAATATGACTAAAGTTTTTTTTTTTAATTTTAAATACTTTTAATTTAATAAACTAAATAGATTAAAATGAATTAAACATCAAATCCCTATTTTAAAATATATTTTGCCCTTTTTTTGAATTAATATAATTTCAAAATAAGAAAATATTTTCTGTTTATGCAATTTTTTTTGAAAATATGAAAGAATACACACATGATTTTATATCAATTTTTTTAAATTATGAACTAATAAATTAATAATAAGAAAACAAGCATTTTTTTAAATGTATTTTTTATTTAATAAAAACGGATTAAATATTTCAAAAAATAAATTTCGAATAATTCAATTTGATTATTTATTTAATATTACTTGGAATAAAATATAAGGAAAATAAAATTAATTTTTAAATTAGTACCATATCTATGGAGATATTATATATAATATTGGAAGTAAAAATAATATGTATTTTATATAAACTAAACAAAAAAATTATATTTTATAAATAGTTTTTTAATTATAATAGTAATTTTTAAGTATATTTTTATAATTAATATTTTCCATAAATAATATTTTGCTTTTTCGAAGAAATAATAAAAAATGGAAACCAAGATAATTACGATATTTAAATAAAGCTTATATAATTATTATTAAAAAACAAAGAATAATTTTCTTAAATAAAAATAATGTTAAATAGTATAATTCAATAATTTTTTAAAAATATCGAAATAACTCATCTTGATATTCTGACTTAAAACTTAATCATATAAAGTCAGTAATAATAAGAAAGTGATTTTAAAGTAAATAAAAATAAAAATAAAATAATAATAATAATAATAAAAAAAAAAGTTAATTTTTAATGAATATTTGTTAAGTTTGAAACATTATAAATGAAAAACATATTTATAATAATAATAAAATAAGAGATAAAAAAAAAAAAATCAAAGGAAAATATTGCTATAATATTTAACAAATATTTAATAAGTTTGAAATATTAAAAATAAAAATATTTATAAAAGTTTTTATAATTATAAAAATATATAAATAATTATATGTAAAAATAATCAAAACAATACATCGAAAGAATTAATTTCAAGATTATGAATAGCCGCATATTTAGTCAATTCATTTAAAATGCATTCAAAATTGACATTTTATTTCATTTTTCCTAAAATTTTGTTTGAACAAACAAATTCCACAAGTTATCTATCTTGATTAAGTTTAATATCGATTTCGGAAAAAAACTATTTCATTTCATGTTAATCGCAATATGTTTAATCTTTTTTTATTGATTTCATAAATAATTTAAGTAAGTTTTGCTTTTTTTCTTCGAATTATCTTTTAAATCTTTCATAACGAACATATTCATAAATTTGTTTGTATTATAATTAATCCTTTTTGTTCTCGTTATGTAAAGGATTATTTCTCATTAAGTATTATCCTAAATATATACAAGGATTAAATCTGTCTCTGGCTTCTTCTGGTTTTTCATGATGTGACTCAATTTATCGACTTAGATTTTCAAGTCCTTCAAGTAAAACAGGAAATAATCTTTCGATTAAATAAAGGTCAAAATTTTCCGTTTTACCAGCTATTTAAATTTCTTATTTTTTAAATATTTCAAGCGCAACTTAAAAATTAATGCTTTATATATCGTCTGCAAAATTATCTTGATTATTTTCCATTTTTTTTTATGTAACTTTTTTATTTTTTTTTATTTATTATATTTTAAT